TAATGACTTCTGTCTGCTTTTGTGGTGCCCTCCTGACAACTCAATCAAGCGGGAGTCCAGAGTGTATGAAAAATTTCCTCATTAGGGAGTTTCATACTTCTACCCTTCATTTTCAGACACATCTGCAAGGAAATGATGAGCTAGTACAGTGTTTCGGCTGGGTAGTCCTATCCCTTTTCCTTCTTAGCCTCCATAACGAAGCTACAAAGAGAGTAACAAATTTCGTCTTTGGACATCTCAATTAAGTCTAACGCGTATTGGACTGATGCTTAGCTCCGGGTGTATAACGGCTGATCTATTTCTCTCCGCTTTCCACGCATCTGAAATCAGGGCGGCGCATCCACAATTTTGCTCGCTAGCTGTTGAAACCTATGTGAAATACAAAGGTGGAAAACGTTAAAAATGCTAATGCACTGTGTTCTGACCTCTAGTTTCGCAATCAACAAATATATCCATGGTGTAACAAACTGTGCCAAATGTTGAAATACATTGGGTTCTGAAGAGGATTCTGGCCCTATTTATTCATAAAGTGGGACAATCAGAGTTACTTGAACATGAACTGGTGGCCAATCACTGCCCATTATTCTGACCAATCACAGCCACCTGTTTTAGCCAATCATGCAAGGAGGCAGATTGCTTCTGCCAGGCAATGCTAATCTCGGAGGGAAATTCTGATGTGAGGATCATTCTGTCCCAGCATGTTGGGAAAGCTGGGTCAATTCGAACACTCTCTGTATGGAATAATTCTGGGAGCAGGATCAATTGGAATATTCTTTCTGTGGAATTTTATAAGACTGGCAGCTTGGTCATTCTGGTTAAAGCTGGGTTCATCATCTTTTCTGTGGAATACATTTGCTGCGGATGACAGTGCATTGCAGGCTGCTGGATTACTGCAAGCACAGACTATCTGGAGAGCTGGGTGTTGGGGCCTCGCCTTCTTGGGATATCCTTGCTGTCCCAGAGTATGCTGGACAAGTGCTACTTGGGTGGAAACACTGGTGTGCTGTCCATCTGAAAATTACTGGGAATCACCTCAGGGATCCTTTGAGGCCAGGGTGTGGATGGAAAGCTGGAGTGTGCTGAACCTATGACCGCACTGCATGACATTTCAACTCAGCGGGACCACGCCTCTTATTCAAAATCTAGTCGGAGGAGGGGAATCCTCTTTGCCGCCATTTGGTCGGCGTTGACTAAGCTATACTACTAGCATGATAACACGGCGGCGGAAAGCCAGCGAAACGGCTAAAAATAATAGGCCTAGGCCCAAAAAGGCTGCTAGATTCGGCCAGCAACCTCTACTGCGATCATCACTTGCCATGGTACAAGCTACCTTAGCTACCCAGCATGGCACCCAGGGAGGTGGACCCTCTTCCCATGAGTCCTACACAGATCACTATTTGGCAAGCATCGCACACCAGCGAGGCTGACAACCCAGGGGGGAGCTCAAGTGCACCAAACGTTATTACCGAACCAGCTGTTGGGCCAGGTATGCTAGCTTAGTTGGTTTTTCTGATACCATAGGCCAACTGCCCCAGTTGTTTTCCCCAAATCCCATAAGTATGCTTAGCATGTCTACCCTGTTAGGGTCCCTCCACCCTATTTCACTCAAGGAGAAGATGGGGAGGGGAGGGGTATGTCGACTTGGCATTGCTCTATGCGGCCACCGCAATAGCTATGAGGGAAACTAATCCAGAAGTTGTATCCAGCTTGATTGGGGATAAGTTGGTGGTGAAACAGGCTGTAAAGCTACCCAATAAAATCGATTCCTTTGACAAATCGCATTCTGCATATTGTATTTGTATGTCCGTCTTCCTCAGGAAACATCCATCTCGTTGGGCCAAACTGCTTAAATATGCAGAGACCATCCGAACGGCAGCCCTCCAGTTCCCTGGGTGGGGTTGGAAGGCCTGTGACGAACATTTCGTTTACGGCAGGAAGCCATTCCTGCTCGATCATGGGGGGTATTGTGGATTCAGAGCTCTGGCTCACTGTTGCCGCAACTGCAGTAGCAAGCAGCAACAATCCAACAGTACTGGTTCTAGTTTCAGTCAATCAGACTAGCAACCCCCAAAGCTAGGCTTTTGTTTTGCATTTAATAGTTTTAAGGGTTGCCACTTCTGCGGGTCAGATTACATCATTCGCGAACGATTTTTAAACGTGGCGAATTTCGCACATGGAGCTTCCCCGACGGCAAAATAGTTCACTCTTTCCATCAGAATTATTAAAAAAAACTGCAGGATAACATGTGGATAACTTTTGTTTCTGTCATCTCTGGTAATTTTTGTACTCGATTCTGTTCAGAAAATCTATTCTTGCAGTTGATGGAACGAAACGAAAGAATTAAGGGGTTCAGCTGACGGCCTAAACGAAGTAAAGCTAACCAATCAGATCCCCCACAAATCATCCAATCAGCTGCTGCTGTGGACCAGACTCTCTGCCCGGTTCAAGCACTGCATGCATTTGTTTGGATGCGCCCTAAGCAACGTGGTATTCTCTTTTGCCGTTTCGACGGAAGTCCACTGACTCGTTACCAGTTCAGTACGGTATTAAGCAAAGCGCTCAACCATCTAGGACTCAATGGGCAAAATTTCTAAACACACTTGTTTCGGGTTGGTGCAGCAACAACAGCACTCATTAAAGATTTAGGTCGTTGGCGCTCTGATACAGTGCTGCGATATATCCACCCAAACCCCTGGGCCAGTTGGAACTAATTTCTTCCATAATCACAGGTTTCATGGCATAAATTTGTGTGTTTAGGCCCTACGACAGTCTGGATAATGGGTGATTCTATTGTTCGCCGTGCGCGTCAGCTTCTAGCTGTTCCTGTCAGGATTTATTAGAAAGGCAAGGGTGGAACTGGAGTGTGCGATCTCCCGGAATGCTACACTCCGTTAAGTCACATGACAAGATATAGTAATTATTCATATAGGTACAAATGATCTGGTTCGGTCGGCAAAATTTTCCTTATGACATTTTAGTGTGGTCAGTCATTCTTCCGCGCTTTTTTTTTACCATGAAGGGAATAATCAGGAAGCTATGGCATATTTCCGCCATTCCATTACCCGTTGGGCCAGATCCTCACTGTTTCTATATGATGGAGTCCACCTCAGATGGCACTAATCTCTTACTATCTGACTTGCATAATTTCACAAATGGAGAATCATAAATTTTACTTTCGTAACTGGGGTAATTTCTTCGTATCTAAGCCTATAAAATTAATCAGCAACATGCAGAATTTAAAAGGGTTTTCGGGATCTTATCTATATAGTATCTATATCTATATACAGGATGTCCGATTTGTGGCAACAATTCAATAACTTTGGGGATGGATTGACTTGGACCTTCTGTTTCCAAGTGGTGATATTTGCCGTGTATAATAATAATAACACATTTCTTATATAGCGCATCACACAGCAAATCTCGATGCGCTTCACAGAAATATTATGAAATAAAGCAATTAATGGAACAGGTGAGTTTTAAGTAGTGACTTAAATTCGTTTTCATTTTTGACAGTTCTGATATGGTGTGGGAGAGAGTTCCACAGCGATGGTGATGCATACCTTAATGAACGATATCCATAAGTCTTAGTGCGAGTGACAGGTGTTCTGAGCAGCAATGTTGAACTAGAACGGAGGGTGCGTTGTGGCTCGTATACTTGAATAAGCCTTACTTTTGAATAGTTCCGTGGTTTTCCTCATTTTTAATGTATATAAAGAGTTGTTCTGGAGTTTATATTGCATTCTGGAATTGGTGAATTTTGATAATGTTTATATAATGATTGGTTTGGCTCGGCTTTTCTTTTTCCTGTTGGGGCATGCTCTGCATGCACGTGTGACGGCCACTTCCTGATACATACAAGATGTGACATGTACCTTTACTGCTATGATGAATTTTACCAATGAAATTATTGTTGTTGGTAATGATGTTTGCCATAATACACTCTAATTTGAAATTTGTAAGGGCTCAGCCACACCCTCTTATGTACCCAAGGGGGTGTGGTGTGCTATATGTTCCAAAGCACAACCAGCGCTGACCCCAAAAGGTTGGATGGATCTTTTTATTATTTCATGATTATTCCTGGGGCCTGGAAGCCCATTCACTAATGGTTGGCCTGTAAGTCAAATGGCAACAGATGTACATGTACATCGACCTGGGAGTCCTTTGTTTGTTTGATGTATGTTTTGGGGCCAACCAGCCCATATAACTGATGCCAGCTTTCCCAAAACAGATTAGGTATCTTGCAAAATAATAAATTGTGCTGTTGAAGCTGTGGCAAGATACAGAAAATCATTTGTCTTGAAGTTTGTTCATTTGTGAGTCCGGGTATAATGAAAACACTTAATGTACTTATGCATTTTCTCATTACCAGTGAAGTACAACAATGGGAAATAGTTTAAGTCAGAGAGTAGACTCGGAACTGTAGATTCGTGCAGCACGAATCTATAGTTCCTCGTCCATTTTCGACGTAAATTTAGGGCGTTATAACGTCAATTCGCTTCGCTTTTGCAATCGCCTGACGTATGACCGGCTTTAACTTGGCATGAATGCAGTGGCGTGCTGGTAGTTTATTATTACACTATTAAGCGATGCTTGTTGATGTTGATTGTATGCATTTACACAAAGCCCAATTTGAAAACAATGAAACAATTATGTGGAATATGTGGAATAAATATTACATTATGTACATATCCACGCTTAATATGAGAATAGAATTGCTAAATGGGGTATAAGTTACTAGTTACAAGAAATGATTTTGAGCACTCTGATATCTGACTTTTCTTTTTCAGGCTGTGGAGTCTCTGACAGCCAACATGCAAGTCAATGCTCGTACTTTAGCTGACCAGACCAGAGTTCTCAATAAGGAACGCAAACGTACTGATACTCTTTTGTATCAGATGCTTCCTAAGTCAGTGGTTGTCAGCCTAAAACACAACCAGAACGTCAGAGCTGAAAATTTCGCAGAGGCTACCATTCTGTTTTCAGATATTGTTGCATTTACCCGTATCTGCTCGGAGAGTACCCCTTTGCAGGTGGTTGAGATGCTGAACAATGTGTACACCAACTTCGACAGTCGCATTGACAAATATGATGTGTACAAGGTGGAAACAATCGGAGACGCATACATGGTGGTCTCGGGTATGTTTTGACATTGCACTTCAATTAGTTTAAAAAAACGAAATTGAAGATGAAGTCCACAAAAAAGGTCACATATAATTTGAAGCTTCAGTTCAATTCCTCCCCTTTTTATCTTTGTCTGGCCTGAAACGAATTATACCAATATCGAAGATTCTAAACCAAAGTTCTCACCAAATCGACCACGAGCACGAAATCCAATCGTTTCGAAACTTCGAAGGCTTAGTATCGGTTGACATTTTCATCACAGATAAATCACTCACTCGAGTAATGTATTTTCTTGAGGGAAAATAATTTATGGAAGAACGAATAAAAGAACGGAAAACAGTAAACACTGCATTTCGTGGTGTTTAAAGACTGTGTTTATTTTGGTTTTGGTTTGTCAATCTACTCATATTGTTGACATTTAGTGCGAGATAATCAAGTCGCAATCAGGCACTGTTTTACTGTCGATGCAGAAAATTTTAGAAATTCACTTTTCTGGAAGCACCAGCATGCCCGAAGTATGATTATTACCGCTTTGAATTCTAGGTATGTGACTGCATCAACTTTAAAGTATTCTATTACAAAAAAGACAATGAATTGATTGCAGAGGAGAAGGGGGTGGAAGATTCCTTTTGCCAAATGTTCCCTTTTTTATAAGATATAAAGTTCTCATGAGTTGAAGAGTGGAAATTAAACCGCAACTTCCCTGGATGTTTAATTGTTTCAGGTGTATCACCTTGGGCCTCTTCATATTAAAGTGGTGTTTACCTTTTCATGTCAGGTTTGCCACAACGCAATGGTAACAAGCACGCTAGCGAGATAGCGTGCATGGCTCTGGACTTGCAGAAGTGCATTGAGGAACTGGTCATCCCGCATAAACCTGGTACTAAGATGACTCTTCGTATTGGAATGCACACAGGTAGGACCTGGAAATGAACATATTTTGTTTCAGACATAATTACTTTGTAAGAAATATTTTAAAATGTTAGATTTTGATTTACCACAAAGGGGGCGAAAAAGGAACTTTCCACAATTTGGAATACCAAGGCAGCTCAACCAGGCAATGACCACCGCAGAAGCATTGATGTCATTTTGTATAGGACCCTTATCAAAGAATCCTCTTAAGATTGGCAGGCGATGATAAGCGTACGGAAGCGTATATAGGACATGACTGGAAAAAAAATGGGCCTGCTATTTCGCCCGGGCGGATTAGTATTTCGCCCAGGCGAAAAACTTATCTGCCCGGGCGAAATAGTAATCCGCCCAGGCGTAATAGCAGGCCCAAATATTTTTTTTCAGTCATGTCCTATATACGCTTCCGTATAAGCGTCATGAACAGTCGATGTAAAAGCGATCTCATTTCTAGGCTATAGTGTAATATCATGTTCATATTAACAGCAGTGCAACTCTGTATCATATCAGTTGGGAAAATCTAAGTCGTCTTTTTTGATAGTACTCTATGACTAAAATCCATGCACTGTAGAGGCTGTAGACTGTGGATGAAACTTCTGAGGGGCACCTGGGACGCACAGTTATTATGCAAGGGGGAACGGAAAAACCAAGGCTTCGGCATGTACATGTGTACATTTCAACATTTCAAATAGGAGGAGCACCTGTGGTGTGGACTTCCGTTGAGAGCATAGTTACGCCACCGCGCACCAAATATTGTTAATGAGGATCTGTGTCTGTTTAGTCAATAAACAGCGAGACAAGCAGGGGACGAATAAGGGGAATTTTCTCAAATTATTTACAAAGCACAAAAATGGCGATCAGCATGTATATACAGGCCAGACAACTAAGTTGAACAGGTTCAGCGCGCGCAGAAAATTCTGCAAGGATTTTGGCTGATCCGTGGTACAGAGTCTAACAACGTGAATGTATTCATGAATTGGACAGGTCCTGTTGTTGCTGGTATTGTCGGATCTAAGATGCCCCGGTACTGTCTATTTGGTGAAAGTGTAAATATTGCAGCAAAGATGGAATCAAATGGACTCCGTAAGTTGTAAATCTAATTCATATGTTTTAACAGAGTTCCTTCATTTGCCTATACCACCATGGGCACATGGTTATTTGTTTTTCCACGATGCTAACGAGCTTCGGAGCAAAAATCACAGTTTTACGCTCTGTGATTTTTTTTTTAATACTGTTGGTTCATTAGCAAATCGTATCCAAGTAAGTGAGGACTGCGCACACATCTTAACCATCATCAACAGCTTTTCTATGGCCAAAAGAGGAGAGATGCTTATCAAGGTAAGATTATCCTCATGTTAGATTTATTTTGGAACTTGTTATCTTACTGGCAAACAAACTTGCAGAAGGTCGTGATATTTCATCGAAAATGAGCGTAGAAATGGTATTGTTTCTTGCTGATAGAGTGGAATTTATGACCAGCATTTTGCATTAAGGGACATGACTCATTGGAGTGTCAGACATGCAGGGAGGTACATGTATATGTATTCAAAACTAGGAGGCGGCTGAAAACTAGCTACCCCCTCACTCTGTTGCAGCTGTTTGTATCAGAATCTGGACCATACCTCACTTATTTACGTATAGTTCATGACTGGTCTCAACTGATTTTAAAATACATTAGTATAAGGAGTGAAAAAGTATTTACATGTACTATTTTAGTATCTTTCGTCTCTTTGTTCCAAACTTTTGAAATTCTTGTGCTGAAAGAAAGCCAAAGAGAGAGGTTTATTGTCTTTGGACGTAGGAATGAAATACTCTATTTTTAAATTTTGTTCTTGGCTTATACCTGAGTGATTTGCCCTTGGAACCATGGAATGTTTCAAAGATGGTTAGTCACCGAAGTCTCTTTTTTGATCTATGTAGTGAGCATTGACATTCCACACATCGTTCGAAAATACATAATTCACTTGATGTTACTGTTTGGCAGGGACGTGGCACCATGATTACCTATTGGCTGCTGGGCTGTGTTCAAGATGCAGATGGTAATGGCTTTAATACTAATCGTCAAGATTTGAACCTCCACGTGCCCGAATTACCTCACCCTGCCATCCTGGACAGCGACTAATTTCTGTTGAACTTCGAGAGACTTAGACTTCGAGAGACTTAGACACGTAAGGTCAAGAGTAAATGCATTATTTAGTTCACGTGACTTTTGTTTTGTGATGAACACAAAAACGTGTTGACTTAAATTATTACCAGGCGCTTGAAACATGTCAACTTAAGTGTGCATCTGATGTTGAAGTATTGGGATTAGCATCAAAGAGAGTAGATACAACGTTTGCCTTTGTATTTCTTTCACAACACATTTTTGGACTAATGTTAACTAGTTGGAAATCAAAAGTCTTTTATACCGTGCTTGATAAGAGTGCACTCATTGCTTTTCGAATAACTGAAATGAATAAATGACAAAGATTATAGGCTAAAGATTTTCATATCCTCCTTCAATCAAGGACGACAGATATAGTTTACCAAAATAAATACGTCACGCGCACATTAACGTATGAAAAAGGCATCGGGCGCGTGAACCAGCACGTGTGCACGTCCCACTCGTTCGTACAACACTTCCTATGATGTTCGTACAACACTTCCTATGGTGTTCTATAGCCGTCGCCCCGACGCTACGACAGCTCCGTCGCGTCGTTGCATCTTTTCTCATTACTTTTATGCTGTGTTTAATACATTGTGTCGTGACGTCTTGCCGTCCCATCGTGCCGTCGTGATGTGGTGTCATGTCATCGCAGCGTTGCGTCGTGCCGTCGTCGCGTCGCCTGTCATTGTATGGTTTTTATGCAGTGTGGGTTAGGCCGTCGCCTCCTGCTGTCGCGTCCTGATGTCTTGGGGTCGCGTCGCGTAGTCGCACATTCGTGTCTTGCTGTTGCGTCGTGTCGTCGTCCATCGTATTGTGCCGTCGTGCCTGACTGTTTCTAAAAATGGCTGATGATTACTAAGGCCAACAGAGGGCGTAAGTCAAGTTATTTGTCAAGTTATCGTTTATTCAGTATATGAATAAATTTCAGTACAGTGTTTCCTGTGAGCCTTCAAAATTAAAATTAAGGCTTTTTCATTAATTGATGAAGTTTTTCAGTGTTGACTCATTCACACCCGACTGAAAAACACGTAGACAGTTTGAACATTATAATGTAAAACCTATTTTGGGTCTTGATGGAACTTTAATGTTTACACACTCAACAAATCACGATTGAACCGACCCAAAGTTACACGACAGTACGACGCAACGATACAACGCGACAGCAAAAAAGCAGGACACGACGCAACGACGCGACGGCACGACGCGACGCCACGAAGGCGCGACGTAATGCATTATACGCAGCATAAAAATAATGAGAAAGGAAGCGACTCAACGACGCGACGGCACGACGCGACAGAGTTGTCGTAGCGTCGGGTCGTGGCTATGCATCGTGGCGTCGTGACGACGCGACACACATTTGGCGGCTATAGAACACCATAACTTCGTGGTTCAAAAGCGTCGAACTTCGGTACTCTATACACAATATATAGACAATTATTGACTTAAGAGGTGTACGTAAGTAAAAAAAAAAAAATCAGTATTAGTAAGGATTATAAATTCTGCTTCAACTCATGTAATCTTCGCCCAAGACTGAATTTGTAGTTGGTGTACATCGCGTGCCCACAGCCGGCGACATACTCTAGCAAGCACAGCCCAATAGCAGTAATGACAGAGGGCGCCAAGCCATACCGGTAAGAGACGAATGCACTAAATCCAGTCTTGGTGAATCTGGCAGGCCCACCTGAAAAATTCCATGCATACCGCATGCGCTCGAATTACCATTAATAGTCGAGGGATCCCAATACGACGCTTTTAGCGCACTTCCGCGTTTGAAAACGAGGCTGTATGTGTCAGCTTTAATTCTTAATACGATCAGACGAATGAAAGAAAGGAGATAAGACACAAAATACGTAAAGGTATGTTAAATTCAGACTTTTCAGGCTGCAATTTTTTGTTGAAGAGTCTTTCAGAATGACTCGACACGTGAAATCAAAAGAAAAAACAATGGCAATTTAGCGCGAACTAACGCACCTGCGATGGCCGTGTATCTTGTGCAGTGGGCGTGGTTTAAACTGAAGTGGTATCAATCTTACGAACCGGATACTGCATGTACTGATCCGCGGGCGCGCGCGACGAAGTTCAACACAGGAAGCCTCGATTCCGATGCCGATATGCGCAGACGGCGCTAATGTGAAATCCATCTATAACGCATGCACATCAGCTCAAAGTTGTGGGAAAGATGACTGCCGTGTTGACACATTTGGTTAACCGTTGAAAGTTTGTTGGTAATGGCAAATGCTGTCGAAAATTAATGGCTGCGCGTGCGCCGACTAAGGGCTTATTTGTTCGAAGAACTGGACAAATGCCGCTGACACTGCGGATAATAAATGGTTACCATGGAACACCCACAGTGTAGCCGTTGGTGTTAAAATACAAAGAAAGTTTTCGGGCTAAGAGAGTGGAACAAAATTGAAAATAATAACAATTACTCAATTTGTAAGGGTTAGAATATAAAAAAATAACAAAAAAGTGATGTCACGATCGTACTCAACCTATCAATTGAGGCAAGATATGGGACGGAGAGAACCCCCCGCCTTTGTGTTGGTCGTTGTTNATGTGTTAGGTAACAATAGTCTACAGCGTGTATAGGGATTGGACAGGTAAGGGGGTGCCTCTCCGTCCCATATCTTGCCTGGTATAGGACCTATGATGCATTGTGATGGTAATACATGTACGTGCATAGTATTGATGGTAATCTACCTAATCAAGACACACAAGTCAAGCATGCAGCGTTCGCACGTGCACTCATGCACGTGGTTGAAGCTGCTTGTAGGAACATATGTGATCACCGTGGCCAAGGCGGTCCACACGTGGTGGTATTGTTTATATTTAGTCACGTGGGTGAAAAGGTCTATAGACACGGGTGTAAATCCCGGAAATGAGGGGTAATCCCCTGCATTCTTTGAGGGGGATGGGCTATTGCGTCATCCCTCCACTTTTTGCGGGGAGCAAAACGGATTTTGAAGAATTTTTCGGACTTCCAACGATTAAATGCACTCGGTATCACTCAAAAAAGGATAAACAATTTTTTTTAAGCCATAAATAAATATGACATTCTGAATACATAATTACAGATGTACATCAATATCACGAACCGCGACCTCTTTATAGAGTCCAATGGCGTCCCCTCCCCGCTTTTCAAATTGTCATGGCCGGGCAAATCACCCCCACCTTTCAACATTCCTCATCCCCCCATTTCCAGCACAAATTTATGCCACTGGGTATAGTTTTTATTAAGGGAATGAACGTGTGTTTGGCCGGACGCGACTACTGCATGCTCAAGCTCAAGCCGCAGGTGAAGGCATTATCAGCGTTCGTTCACCTGAGCCTATCTTAAATGTTACAGACATATCTATTCCCATTCATAAATACCGTTTTAGTAACACAGCCAACAGAAGTCAATATACGATAAATTTCTTAGGACTTTGTTCAAGAATTTTGCATTTATTTTTCCGAACACCCCGTTCATTTTATGGTATATTCCTAGTGCAAGTTGTCCAGAAGAAACTTATAATGAACTTGGCGCGGCCGTGGTGAGTTCTGCGTGCCGCGGTGCACACAGACTCTTGACTAGTAGGAATGGATGAAACTGTCTCGAATCATAAAGACTGGATAGGACACGCGAACACTGCATGGTGAGGATTCAGAAAAAGTGGACAGCCGGCGGTGAGGGTTTGCGGGTTTCTGCTAATGCGTATTTTATTTCATACAGGTATGTTGGGATGCCGTATAAATCAATCTCAAACGACTTAGGCCCGCTTCAAACGTCGACTTCTGCCGCGTCTAATTCAGTTAATTGCGATCGACATAAAAGTGGCAGAAGTTCGGCAGTTGCTTCAAACGCCGGTTTTCTGTTGACCTTAATGCAAAATCACAACATGGCGGACCGAGAAAGAATGATATTGCGACATATTCTCATTGCGAGAAGAAGACTTTCTCTTGCAACAATCAGTACTACTCAATGTTATTGCAACAGGGAGAGTTCTAATCGTATGTTCACTTGTCCTGCTAGCTACTCCTCCTTCCCAGGGAAAATGTTAGAAGACCCCGGTGTTGTCGAAAATACAGGTTGGCTAGAATTGATGCTAAATACGAACTCTGACAAAAGATTCAAAAGGGCGTTTCGTGTTTCAAAAGGAACCTTTGAATTCATCATGTCACACATGAAATATGATTTGGAGCGGAACACAGTGAAAGAAATGCCCATATCAATCCAAAGTCAATCATCAAAAACGTGTGGGACATTTCAGTAACTAAATGGTTTCCAAAAAAAAATGACGAGTTCATAACAAAAATGTTTGAGATGTATGTGGGCGCCGCCATCTTGTTTTAACGCCGAAACGAAGACAACTGTTGTGGGCGCATGCACATTTTGAAATGGCCCTTATGATGTTCCAAGTTGGGACATTTAAATTGAACTATCGAATAAATTCACTCTGTGAATAAGTGAAATCTTCGTAGTTGGGTTAAGGTTACGAATTAATGGTAAGAGCCAAGGTTGCAAAAAACACCTTAAACCTATTTGCAAACAATTGATGAAACTACAGAATCAGGAAACAAACCAGAGGCAATTTCACTATGGTGTATTGCTGTTTTGTTTTTCTTTCTTGAAAGCAACGAAAAGCAAAGCTGTATAAGGTAAATAACAAATCATGTTGATAACACCGTGACATGTATTAAAAAAGACACATTGTATTGGGTACTAACGTTTTCTTCTCTTTATACGCCTCAATTTATTGCAAACCGCAGGTCTATAAAAACAAAACACCTTGGAATTTGATACATTAGAGAAAACCTCTCAAAATATTTAAATTATTTCTTCCAGATTTGACAACATACTGAAATACTAACACAACCCCGAGAGAGTACGAAAAGGCAGTATTTTACTTGAAAAGTGATATGCAACTTGAATGAGCATTAACATTAATCAGCATAATAAAATATAATAAACAAGGTAACAATCTCCCACGTGGACT